TTGAAAACAATTTCCAATGATCAGAAAACAGTTTCACTAAAAAATCATCAGATTTGGAGAATTGAAACCTGGGGGTCTGAAAAAAATATGTTCATATTGCTATCCATCAATCCATCAAAAAGGAAAATGGAGGACTGACATAATTTATGAAGCAACTACTTTGCTTCTTTCAGTAAAAAGTATGAGATGTTATTTTCCTTACAGTCTGAGGATTGGGATGACAAATGCCCCCATCATACCACCCATGGGCCAATGCACAGAGTCCCTGACCATATATGACTCTGACACAGCAGACCCACCCAAGTTGGTCAAAACATTCTGCAACTCCTTTTCAGTGCCCTTGGAAAAAGTGGACTTTGTATCCACTCATAATTCCCTGTTTGTGGAATTTGAGAGTCTGGTGGGGAGTTATGAAGGCAGCTCCATTGACTTCTGGGCACACTATGACTTCTTCAACAATTCCCACTATGGCAACCCTGTGCATGGGACTCTGTGTGATGAAATTTTCCAGGAGTCCAGAATGGGCAATGGGGAATTTGGTTCTCCCATCAATACTTTGGTGTATACTCATGGACCTGATGATGACAGCTCATTGATCACTTGCACACTCAATTTCCAGGTAGGCAATGAAAGATATTTCATGCTGCATTTACCTAAGTACCATTTGACCTTGAGTAAGATGCACTCAATCATCTTTAATAGACATTTTTAAAAAACCTCTCCCAACCTCAATATTAAAATGCCAGCAATTGTGATATAATAATTAAAAATACTCTTTTGTATGAATGAAAAGTGTTATAGACTCAAAAAAATCCTTTTATTGCTGTTCACCATTATTTCCAGTTACTATGCAAGCAAGTGACCTAGAGTAAGATCCAATCAATCAGCATAAAAAAAACATTATTCCTACCTCAATTTTCCAATGCCAGCAAGTGTGATACAGTATCTAAAATGCTCTTCTGCATGAATAAAAAAGTATTATAGACAAGTAAAATATAGATTTTATTGCTGTTCATCATTATTTCCAGTTCAAATGCACACAAAAAAAATGAATTTATCTTCCACCTGGGCTTAAGTTCAGAAATTGACCTCCCCTGTAATATTTTGAAAGTATTCTTGGTCAAAATCAGGTGCTTGAAATGAGACTGGCATCTATACACTGTATTAAAAAATTTGCAGAAAATGTAGCACTTTGAATGCTATTTTTCATACAATTTATTTTGGAAACAAGGTGCACATGGTACTTGGGTGAATACAGTACTTAGCTCAAATTTCCTCCTCTTAATTATATTTTTGTTCCCAGTTGGATATTGGCCTGCGCAAAAGAATTGAGCTTCAGATTGACCAACTGGCCTTTGGCAAGTCTGACCTTCCATGTCCAGCAAGTGCCTCTGCTTGCTTGTCAGCCCCCAGGGACAAGATCTACATCAATGATGATGCCAATGAGAAAATCCTTTCCTGCTTGTGTGAAGAACACACCACAGCAAAACCCCCAATCTTCATTTACTCATCCGGCAGAAAACTGGAGCTGGTTTTCACAGTGAATGAAAAGCACGCGAGGGCAAATTATTTCCGACTCAATACCCCAGTGTTCCACGGCAAGTTTTCTTTTGTTCACGACTCCAAATGTGGACCTGAAACGTATCCACCAACTCCAGAAGGAAGATTAATCTTCCCCCAGTTTGCGGATCCCCAGGATATCGTGCTGTC